GGATCAGGCACAAGGTAGGTGTTTAACACATGTCTGTCAAGGAAGGGAGACCAGAGACAACCTCTGTCCTCAAGTGGTCCAGCCTTAGGGCACATACTCCCCTCCACCCCAGCATAATCATGAGAACCTGCTGAGTGCTGCTGTGCAGGTAAACAGAGACCCCAAGCCCACGGTCCTGCCTACCCAGCCTGGCTGGGTTTGGGATCCTGTTTCCAGATGACCCCATCTTATCACTCAGCTGAGGTGCGATCGGCACCTCTCTTGGTAGTCGGTGACATAGAGGATTTGCACAGCTCTTGGCTCAGTATGTGTCCATTCTCTTGGCTGAAGCACTAGAAAAACTGTGCAAACCACTCACAGATGCCACTGGCCGTCCTTAGGCCCCCAGAACTGATTCAGCAAAACTGTCAGAAGGTCACATTCATTATAAGAACTCTTTAGACAGATGAGTGGATGGATGGATGGATGGATGGATTGATCGATGGATGGATGGATTGATGGCAAGAGCCAGTGAACTGACCCAGATTTCTATGTAGGAGCCTGAGTTTGTCTTCTCCTTCTCCTGATAAGAATGAAGTCAGTAGCTTCATCCAGCACTCCAGGCCTTGCTGGTCAGACCCTGTCTCCATGTTGTGTGCTCACCCTGCTGTCCTCCGCAGCCTCTGCTTGACTTGGCTGGATCATCAGCGCTGCCTACAACACGCCTCCACATTCTACTCACTGCCACCCACCACACTGGCGCCACTACTGTCCCATGCTCCTCCCGTCCTGGGAGCCTTTCTGGGCCTCTCCCTCCAGGGATCCCTGCTCCCTCTCAGAGAGTGGTGAGCCTCCATGGTGAGCCTGTGAAGGGGGCCAGTGCTCCAGCCTGGCTCTGTGCCCTGAGCTAGGAATGCACAGAAAACAGCTTAGGAAGGAAGCCTTGGGGGTTAGATGTGAAATCCACTTCCAGGCACTGACTCTCTGAGTGTGGTGTTCTGGTAATGAGGCACAGTCCTCAGGACCTCTCCTCTACTTCCTCAGGTCCAGGCCCATACACAGAGTGGACTGGACCAGGTGTGATTCCAAACCCACCTCCACACAGACCTCATGCACTCAACCAGAAAGCCCTTGAGCACCAAGAGCCAGGGCAGGAGGGCAGGCACAACCTGAGGGTCTGTCTTCTCGCAGGGCCTGCAAGGGGCTGAGGAGCCACTTAGGTCTGCAAATCTTCAAGCCACCTGAAGTCCTTGAGTTGCTATGTTGAAGGAAACAGAGTTTTTGTTTCCACACAGAAAGCACAAGACATCATCGTGTCTCCAAGCAGCAGGGAGCCCTTCCAAAACGGACAGGGCAAAGTGCCACCTCAAGGCACACCCACAAGGTACTGGGAAGGGCCGTGCAGGGCCTGATGCCCTGTGGGTATTGGGCTGCTCTGGCTCCTTCAGCACCCACAGGTGCCCGTGGCTGGCTGTGACCTGATGCTAGCCTCTAGGCCTCTGAGCTGCTCGCTGGGTCTTCACATCAGCCAGTGGCTGCCCCTGGGTCCAGTCTGAGAGTGAAAGGGAACCCAACCCCACGGGGTCCAAGGCTGAGATGCAACCATGTCACCTCCCACTCCAGCGTGGTCCTTCCCTCCCTTCCAAGCCTGGTCCCAGCCCTCTTGGAGGGGGTGCATTTCCATATCACACATTCTGTGATCTTTGTGACCTTTCAGGCACATTTACTCCAGGCACGCTGGTCAAATGACAGGTCCTCCCTCTGAGACGCCAGAGTCAATGCCCAATGTCCACAAAACCCCTGATCCAACAGAGCCCGCATGCCTCCTCCCTCAGCACCTGGATGCCCTCCGTCACCCACTTCCCACATCCACAGCCACTTCTTCCACGTGACTTTAGGCCCTGGAGGCCAGAAAACAGGCCTCAGTGGCCCAAGATCTGCACAGCCCTGGCACAGAGGGAGGCTCAGGCAAGCTGGCTGGGCTCATAGTGCCCAGTTGGCTTTGTAAACCCTTCCTTGTGCTCAGATCCTCATGGAATGTGAGCAGAGGGGCCACCCGTGCCCCCACAGCCCAGGGTCCCACCCCAGAAGGCAGCCCGGCCCTCTGCCCCTGCCAGGGCCCCACGCAGCCTGCCAACCTGCCTCCGGGGGGGCATTTCCGCACAATGGGCTTGGCGGCCCTCAGCTTCCCAGGCGGATGTGATGGCAAATAGCAGGCGCTTGGCATATCTGCGGGATTTCTGTGCATAACAGAAATGTCAGGCGGATTTTAATGAAAGGCTGTGTGCTTCTGGGGATTGACAGGCCGACACAGAATCCTAATTTTCAGATGGCTTGTTTTCGGGGCTCTTGGCACTCAGGGCCAGAGCTGAGAGAGCCCCCCAAGTGCTCCTGGGGGCCATGGGCCATCTCCCCCATTTGCAGGAGCAGCCGCCCCATCAGCTGACAGACTCCCCTTCCAGGCTCTGGCCACCGGTGCTGAGTCCTAATTTAGAAACCAAATTATTTCTCTTCCTCACCCACAGCAATTGGATGCCCGCCTTTTGCCTACATTTTGTGAGCAACGCGTGGCAGAGGAGCCAGCATCCTCTCTGCTGACGTCAGGAGGGCTACAGAGAGCATGGTGGCTGCCTGGGCAGGTGCCGCGAGGGCAGGTGCCACATGGCTGGGGCAGGGTTGGTGCCAGGCAGCCCACAGTGATGGGAGTAATCTCCCCTAAAGGAAAATCTTACTTCCTGGTCAGCTCCAGGGTTTAGGGGACCCTGACGATGTGTCACCCTCAGCAGATGTGCCCTACCTCCCTGGGTGAAACAGGAGTAACCCAGGTAGATCACCTAACTGTGCCCAAGAGGGAGGGATGCTTAGGTGCTCAGTGCCTCTTTCTGGGCTAGGGAGACACTGGATATGGGAGATGGCACTGACCAAGACAGATAGGACTGAGGTGGATATTGGGGGCCAGCTAGAGAGACAGGAGAGCCCTCCTGCCCTTTCTGTAGTGGATACATGAGTTCCTCCATGTTCTCCTCCCTCGTGATGTAACCGGGATCCCTGCTTAAGGTCTGGTAGGAGGGGCATAAACCTAGACTCAGTAAGCTACTAAGAAAATGAACCCAACTGAGCATGGTGGCACAGGTGCCAGCACTCTGAGAGGCTAAAGTAAAAAGACCACAAAGTTCAGTTCAGCCTGGGCAAGTTAGTGACTTAACAAGACCCTGCCTCAAAATAAAAGCTGACAAAGAGAAGGACTGGGGTGGTAACTCAGTGTGTATGGCCCTAGGTTCAATCCCTAGCACTAGAAAATCGAACAAAAAACGGGCCATGTGAAGAAGATTCAGGGGAGATTTATACGGGGACTGGGCAGAGCTTTTGAGGCTCCCACAGTCAAGTGGCACTCAGAAGGGACCCCAGTTCTGAGGGAACACCAAGCTCTACCCTGCTGCTCAACTGGCCACCAGCTCAGTCCTCAAGGCTTAGGTCAAATCTGTGTCCTTAGCCAAGCTGGGGGCTTGAATGGGCAGTGCCCAATCTCTAAAAGTGGAATTCAGGGGAAACAGGCCAGACATCCACACCTGATGCATAGTTTCACCCTCCTGCCCTAATGGCACCCAGATCTACGACTCAACTTAAATCCTTTCCCTCCAAGGATCTCAACCAAAGCTTGGAACCCACAACCAGGAATCCTAAGTCTTCCCTAGAAACACAGGTTGAGGGAGAGCCAGCTCTCCAATGTAACTGAGTCTGGGAAGGCTGCCTGGAGAAGGTGTCCAGGCATCACAGGCCCTTTCTGGAGGGCATAGGATTTGGAGGGCAGAAGGCAGGATGGTGTGATGCGGGGCACAGGGCAAGAGCAACAGAGTACCTGCCTGCTGGGTGGGTGAACTGGGCAGAACCCACTTTGTGGCTGGGAGGCAGCTAACAGACATTTGTGCCTTGAAAGATGTGGTGGTCTAAGCTGACAAAGCCAGTCCTGACCAGATCACCCACCAAGAGGGCCACAGGAACATGGCAGACAGAAGTGGGCTCCAGGTGGGCATGATGGAACACTGAGAGTCAGCTCGGACTCTGCAAAGGACACAGGTGGCCACGGCAAGAGGTAGCTGGGCTCCTGCCTCCCCCACCCCCACCCTCTCTGCAGGACTCTCCTCTGGAAGCCATCCTTGTCACTCCCCATCATCCTCTGCACCTCAGACTCCTCCTGCTGTCACCTCTTTCCTGCTCCACTTCAGCCACCGAGTTTTCCTTCAGTTCCTCGAATGCCTTGGGCTCCCTCCCAGGTTGCTGTGGCTGCCAGCAATGCTCTGGGATCTGTGGGCTGGCGCCTCTACCAACCTTCTAGCTCAGACATAGCTCCTGCAGGAAGCCTGGGCCCCTGGGCCGAGAGGTTCCCTGCCATCCATTCTCACAGTGCTTATGGGGGACCCCTTGGAGCCCTCACCATTCTGGGGAGCAACATTCTTATTTGGGTTTTATGTGCTTTATCCTGTGCCCTCTGCCCCTTTGTGGAGGCTTTAAAAGCACGGACCCCAGCAATTCCCAGACAGCCCCAGACTGGCACACAGGAAGCTTTTAGTCAGTGGTTGTAGATTGAGTAAGTAAACAAATGAGCAATTCGGGTGTGATTCACACCAGCCTGTGCCAGCACTATGGGAGTGACCTCTGCCCATGGGTCTGTCCGCTCTACCACCAAGGGCACCTGTGAGCTGGCTCAGGTCTAAGCTCCTGCATTCCCAGGATGCAGCACCAGTGAACAGAGGTGCTTGGCTGACAGAAGGAGAGGAGGACTGACGTGGACTAGTGAGCTCTCCTCTGTCACTGTCCTTTCCCCTTGCCCACCTCCAAGACCACAGGTCCCCATGACTCAGCCCTCTATGGAGTAGGAGCCCAAGGCAGTGTGGCAGGAAGCACACACTGAGACTCCATATGTAATCCCAGAGAGGAGCAGAGATCAATGCACTGGCTATTGGCAAAACCTCTGCCTGCCGTAATGCAGATATTTCTCACATCTTTATTGTGTTCGTGTATGTTGATTCATAGCAGTTTTGTCAATAAAAAAAACACTGCACAAAGTCTCACAGTAAAACTGTCGCCAAAAATTATTTATTGCTGCGATAACAGCAAATTATATATTGAAGATTTGTAGCTGTGGGTAGGATGGAGGGGGCTGCAAGGAGACCCCTCTCAATGCTGCATCACCTGCCCGCCTCTCCCCCACCATCCTGGTGGGGACCAGCTGGGGTTCAGGGGTCCGCTCCCAGGAGTAGAAGGGTCTGGTGGGGACTCCACACCCTGGATAGAGATACTATCAAACACAAGAGAGAATGTGAGTTACACAGGAACTTACAAGCAGGAGGGAGTATTTCTTCACCAAGTAAACCAGGAAGGTGTCTTCAAGGAAATGACATGGGGGCCACCTCTGGAAGACCAAGCGGACTCCACCTACTCACTTTGTGAAGACAGATACTGCATCGGCAAAAGCCTGGAAGGGAAAAAGGAGTTCCCCACGGAAGCAACATGCTTCACACCCTCTGCCCACTGTCCGGAAAGAAACAACCCAACCCTCCTCCATGCAGCTGGTGGCCATCGCTGGGCCATGCCATCCCTAAAAGTGTTCTTATATGATTTTCTCCCTTGGAAAATTTACTCCCTGGTTTTGGCATTTCATGGACAAAGTATAAATTGTGGAGGTGGCACGAACTATGAAAGCCAGCTTTCCTTTTAAACTATAAATGTGCCAAGAGGTGGTGAGGGGGACGGGTGTGGAGGGAGAACCTACTATCCCTGGTGGCTGCTGCCTGCGGTGACACACAACAGCCGGTGGGCTCGGGCAGGCGCGGTGGGCAGGCGCAGGCTGGCCAGGGTAAAGGGTGCCCAGGCGAAGCAGGGGCGAGGAACTGGTGGGGAGCGGAGTGGGCTGGGGGCACTTCTCGAGGGCCATGCTTGCTATTTTGAGCAGTTAACAAAGAGGTGTGGATAATTTTTTTTCCTGGAATGTCTTTCTAGGGGTCAAAAATTTATACTTACATCCATCGGTTAGGTAAATGGGAAAGCACGCGTTTTAAAAAAATAAAACCAGTGGAAGATTTCTGCTCCACCCTGGCAGCACCCTTCCTGCACATCTTTCTCTTTATGCGGTTTTGTCTCAGTGATTTGAGCATGTTCTAATTTTGTCATTCAAGCCATCTGACTTTCACTGCTCTATACAAACAAAACCTAATTTAGTCGGAGATGTTTTAAGTCATAACAATGACTGATGGCCAGGGTTCAGGTGTGGTGGAATATTTAAATACCTAGTCTATATTTTTCTGATATAAAGACAGGCAGTTTTTTGTACTCTGATTAATTATGATTTTGCATTTCAGAAAAAAAATAGCTTTTTCTATTCTACATTATTAATTGGTTATTTAATTAGGAATTCTCCAAGCTTCAGATGTTGGGAAGCTAAATCTGTGAGTGGGTTTAAAAAAAGCCGAGCGCCATCCTGTTGCCTTTTTGTATCTTATGAAGGTCACAATAAGACGTGATTGTTTGGCATAGCGGCGGTGAATTATGCCACCCAGACAAGCTTTTAACCTATGTGCCTTCACTCTGAGTGAGACACACGGGCATGTGCTCTCTTTAAACCGTTCTCTATTGAAGAGGATTCAATCACCATAATGAATCTGAGGCCAGGCAGCAATCTTCTGCACTGAAAGAATTTCTAAAAGATTGTAGAATTTGTAAAACGAACAGCTCGCAGACTAAATGGCTGTGTGGGTGAATCAATTATTGCAAGGCCCCGAGTAGTCATAATATTTAGTACATATCATAGAGTGTTTCAGGTACAATAAGATATGCTCATTTTTCCCCGTTTCTGCTGGAAATACTACCAAATGCCTGCAAACAAGCTCGGCCAATCTGCGGCAGCACGGCAGAGCTGGGGCAAGTTGAACGCCAGGACGCTCACGTCCCTGCCAGCCGGCTCACACCTGCAGGGTGAGGCGAGCTGTGTTCCTGGGAGGGCAGGGGGGCCACCGTGTCTCCCCCAGCCGCACCACAGTCCCATTGAAACTGCCTCCCAGGCCTGTGGAGATGCTAAGTTGCCAGCTCTCTTTTTTTAGAGCCTGGTTTTGAACCGTTTCCTTATTAATACAATAATTATTTTTCTCTGACAGCACCATTTATAACCATCTACTCTATGTCCAACTAGCCCCGTTTTCATTAATCAATGGGCATGGGGACGACTGTCATCACCTCTCTGGATTATGACTTATCGGCCTCATGCAGGCTCCTCTCGGGTGGACCGCGCTCGACTCAGGTGACGATGGGGCCTTTCTGCCTGCCTGGTGGGAAGCTTCCCACACTTAAGCCTGGGTATCACTAAAGACCTTGACTGGAGGGAGAAGCATCCAGGAAATCCCAGGAAACTCAAAAAGGCTGTTTCCACGGAGCTTTCAAAGTTGTAAGACAACTGTTGATGGGAATCTAAATTAGTACAACCATGAAAGAAGACAGTATAGAGGCATCTCGAAAAACTAAAAATAGAACTATCCTATGATCCAGCTGTTCACTGCTGGATAGATATCAAAAGGAAATAAAATCAGGATGTCAAAAAGATGCTTGTACTCCCGTGTTTAATGTTGCACTCTTTACCTTAGGCAAATATGGAATCACTATGTCCATTACAGAAAAATGTATAAAGAAGCACGGAATATTATTCAGTCATAAAAATGAAACCCTGTCATTTATGGCAATAGAGATGGAACTGGAGGGCATCGTATTACATAAAATAAGCCAGGAATAGAAAGACAAACAACTCATATTCTTATTCAAAACATGTTGGAGCTAAAGAAAAAACAACTTGCTTTCAGAGAAGAAGAAAGCAGAATAGTGGTCACCAGAGTGGTCACTGAAGGGAGAGAGAAAGCTGAGCGGGGAGGTCAGCTATAGAGGGCACCTAACACCTACTGCGGTGGGAGGAAGGAGTTCTAGTGTCCTACAGCAGAGGAGGGCGATCACAGTGTACAACAGCTTGTTTTCTACTTTATAAAGGACTAGAAGAAGATAGTCAAAAAGTTCAAAGGAACAAGGAATGTTTAAGAAGATGCATATGCTAATTACCCTGATTTGATCATGACACATTGTGTACACGTATCAAATTATCACATTGCACCCCACAACTAGGTATAATTATTATCTGTCAATTAAAAATGAATTAAAAAACTTGTAACCTAGGCTGTGCCTGACTCCCTTAAGTATTATGAGGAGGGATGGATAGAATCTAAGGGGACTCTGAATAGAATTGTGCTCTCATCAGGACAAATGTTACTAGAGAAGACAGAGGAGCCAAGGTGGCGTTAAAGATAGATATTACAAGGACAGGGACTACTATATTCATGGATATGAAAGTTGACCCAGATAGATCTATTTATTCAATGCTGTTTCATTCAAAATTCCAACATAAATTTTTAAGAAACTTGTTAAGTGAAGCGGGTTAATAAGAAAGGAAAAATAGCCAGGACATTTCTGAGATGAAACACATCGAAGAAGCCTTTACCCTATCACATGCCATGACTTTGTGTGTGAATATTTAGCAAAAGACAGTGAGATATTAACACAGAGAAAAATAATCAACCAGAAAAACAGCCCTGAAATAAAGCCTCACAAGTACATGGGCCTAGTATAGGACAAAATTAGTGTGTCAGATCAGTTGGGGGGGGGGAATAATCTCATAGTTCAATAAGTGAAGTTTAAAAATGATTAACCACTGGGAAAAAAGAAAAACTGTATCTTCTCACTTCGTGTCCACAAACCAAATCCATATAGATGAAAGATTTAATTAATTGTTAAAAGCAAAACTCTCACTGAGAATGGTGGAACATGCCTGTATCCCAGTATTAGGGGAAGCTGAGGCAGGTGGATCACAAGTTTGAGGCCAGCCTGGGCAACTGGGATACTTAGGAAGACACTGTTTCAAAATACAAAATGAAAAAGGGGCTTGGGATATAGCTTAGTGTGAAGGCCCTGAGTTCAATCCCTAGCAGCAGGGGAAACAAAACAAAACCCTCTAAACTTCTCCGTGCTAAATATATCTAATAGATCATCAAGTAGAAACAGATTTCCTTAGACAACTATCAGTAATTACAAAGAAAAAGATTAATGCATTTGATCAGGTTCAAATTAACTTTGTATTTATCAAAAGATATTTTTAAAAGTAAAAATGTGGCCAGGGATATGGCTCAGTGGCACAGTGCCTGCCTGGCAAACACAAGGTCCTGAGTTCGATTCTCAGTACCATAAATAAATTAATAAACATAAAAGGGCATTTTCTGTCATATTTATAATGAAGCAAACAAAAAAAGTAGCATCAATAGTACATTGAAGGAGTCAAGATGTAGATCAGTGGTAGGGCATTTGGCTAGCATGCTCAAGGCTCTGAGTTTTATTCCAGCAACACACACACACGCGCGCGCGCGCGCACACACACACACACACACACACACGAAACACCATATCCGTGTTAGACAGCACAAGTAGTCCAACGTGGAAAAAAGGGCAAGGGGCATAAATAGTCATTTCAGAGAAGAATAAACAATAGGACAAATATATTTATAATTAAGAAAATATTAGCATAACTAGCATCACTAGATCAGAGAAACGAAATCAATATCATAATGAGATCATTTATACTTATTGAATTAGCATACACTAAGTCTAATAATACCAAATATTGGAGAGAACATGGTTCCACATAATTGCTTATGTGTCGTTGTAGAGGCAATTTCTTTCTAAAAGCAGTCAGTTTGGAGTTACAGCTTAAGGTTGAATAGTCACAGCACTTCTAGTCCTAGGTATATATAACCAAGAGGCAAAACTGCACGGATATAAAAGGAGAAGGGCTCAAGCATGTTCGTAACAGCACTGTTTAGAGTAGGATTCTGGAAATAACTCAAATGCCCAACCTTAAAGAGCAGGTAATTCCCATTTTTAGACAGCGAAACACAATGGGCAGGAACTCAACATATAAGCCAGCCATGTCCAGAAGCAACAGCATAGAAGGTTCTCAGCAAGAGTAAGATACAAAAGATCACATGCAGGATGGTGCGCTCTTAAGAACAACTAAACAAAAATATATGCTTATAAGAATTCATTGTAGACACAATATACCAAGAAAAAGCAAAAGATTGAACAGAGACTCGAGAAGCTGGTTACCTTGAGTGAAGGAGACAGGGCTATAAGGTGGTTGGGGAACTATAAATTATTAAGTTCTTAGTCTGTGTTCAAAAGTATCATTTAAGTAATGAGACCACGTGTGAGCTGTGCATGAGGCCAGATAAGCACGAGGATGAAGAGTTACAGCAAATGTTTAGGTCTGTGTTTCAAAAACACATATGCTTTCCTCCAGCAAGTTCTGTTAGGAACGAGCCTGAGGAAAATTGTGGGATGTGTACAGACTCAGGTGCAAGGCTGTTTAGGACCCAAATGCCTCTAACAGCGGAGAACTAGAGAAAACACTCATGTTCACCCCCAGAGAAGTCCTCAGTAAGCACCAGGTACCATCACATGATGAAATACTAGAGAAGTTTCTGCTTTATACAGATGAAAACTGGGGAAAGGAAATACACAAGACATACAATAGAAAAACCACAATTCTGATGGCATAGTGAGATTACAAGTAATTTTTTGCTTTTTTCATCCTTCCTGACATATATGACTAGGTTGTTACATATTTTTAAAATCTAAATGTGAAAGACCGTAAAAGAAACAGTAGCACACGGAGACACGAGAGGGCGAGCCCTATACTCTAAAAGCCTCTTTTTCAGGTATCAAAAGGACTACTGCCTCAGATACCCAGGGGGAACTCATGTTAGTACAATTTTTCATATTTTACACACTAAAATAAAAGCTGTGTTTATTGTGGGAACTTGGCACAACAGAGAAATGTCTAAATAAGTGTCTCAGGAGCCTGCCGCCCAGTACTGATTTTTTCCTTCTAACATTTTCTCCAAAGTAGAAACAAAAGTGGTGTAGCTGCCAGCAAGCTCACTCTAGTCACCAGGCTGGTTAACCAAACATTCCAACTCGGCCGGGCTCTGGTGCCCAGGTCCTGGTCAAACTCCAGGCTAGACGTTGCTTTGGAGGTCCTTTCCAGATGTGACAGATACTAAGTAAGTAGATTGTAAGTAAAGCGTATTACCCTGCACCATATGGGCAGGCCTCGCTCCATCAGGTAAAGATCTGAAGAAGACCAAGGCTCCCTGGGCAAAGAATTTTGCCTCTAAACTGCCTTCAGACTTAACTGTAACATCAACTCTTTCCTGGATCTGCAGGATTGCCACAAACAGGTGAGTGAGGGAGGCTTAAAGATCTGTGTGTGTGTGTGTGTGTGTGTGTGTGTGTGTGTCCACAGGTGTATATATCTCCATCCTAGTGCTCCTTTCTCCAGAGAGCCCTAATATATAACTAATACAATTACATATATTTGCATTTAGATAACATTTTTAAGATAGGGTATTCACATTCTGTTTTCACCTAACATTGAATACATCATCCACAGTAGCCAATATTATCTTAAAAGTCTTTAAAAACCTTTTTAATTTTAATTATCACTTATTTATATAATAATTTATTCTTAGCCAGTTCCTTATTGTCAGACACATGGATTTGCCCCAATTTTTCATTTTTGTAAGTAATGAGGCAATTAGTAGGTTATAAACATAATCTTTGTGTCTCTGGTTCAATGTTTGTTTTTTTTTTCTTTTTTTAATGTAGCAGAGAGACCCTGGACTAGGAGTTTGGGGCCTGGATTTGGGGGCCTGGTCTTGAGTTGCATTGGCCTTCATTACAGGGCTTCCAAGTGTGTTCCCAGGCACTGTGCTCCAGGGCTCTTCCGAGGCCCAGGCCAGCCCTCTCACCCCGCCCTTGGACTTCAACCAGGTGGCCACTGCTCCTGCCCTTGCCTGGCTCCTAAGCCTTGGCCTCTGTTGCCACTGCCTGCCCATAACCCCCTATCTGGACAAACCCTGCCTGAGCCCCGTCCCCACTGTGACCCCATTTCCAGGGCTTCCCTCTCCCAGTTCTCTGCCCCTCGCTGGCCTGCACAGGCCTCAGTGCCCTCTGCTCTCCCAGCCCACGATGCCTCCCAGCTACAGGGAAGGGGCGTGACTTCTGCTTCCCGTGGGTCCCTCGTTGCACCCTGGATATCGCAGGACTTCACCAAGCTCTTACAAGCAAAGGATCCAGAGCCAAAGGAGTTCCAGGAAGCCGAGGTCAGAAACACTGAGGCACTGGAACCCCTGCCCGGCTTCTCCCCAGGGAAGGGGCAGTTCCTGAAGGTCTCTCTGGTCTGCACTTTTCTGGTCCCCCATGTCACTGAGTCCCTCTATGAACCTTCCCATGCTTCTCCATATGAACAAGCCTAGGTCACCAGGACAGATAGTGAAGCATGAACCTGACTTGTTCCATGCTCCGCGGCAATCTTCCAGTGAACCCCATCAGTTCTGAACCTCCCTTTGTGTTTTAAACCTGTCCCTCTTGCTCTGTTTCCATGCTCATCACCATCTCCAACCAGACTCATCCTGGTCTCCCTGCTTCCACCTTGGGCTCCCACCCTCAATTCCAAAGGAAGCAGCACTCTTGGTTTAGAGAATCAGATGTGTCACTGTCCTGACCTGAACCCCTCTGTAGCCACCAAAGCCTCCACTCACACTGGGCCTCACTGCCTTGCACCCTGACCTCTTGGGCTCCAGCACGGAGGCTCAGCACTGGCAGGGGCCCCTTCCCAGGTCTCCATGCCTCACTCCTGTGTAGCTTTTGGGTCTAGATCCCCATTGCCTCCTCCATGGTTCTTCTTGTTCCCACCTCCACTCAGCAATCCCAGTGCCCACTGTGTACTTAGGCTGTTTTTATAAAGATAGTGACCAGACCTGTCTACCACATATTAAGGACCCAGTAAATACTTTTGTCTGAATAAATGTTTCTTCCTCAAATTCACTGTTAGAAATGTAAGTCTCAGAAGGAGTGGTTCCTCTCCCCAAACAGGAACATGAGAACGTCTGCATGCAGGAGCTGCATAAAGGATGGTGGGACACCAGCGTTTCGGGCACTGCAGATGCAGGAAGGTGGCAGAGGCAGCAGAATGTGTGCCAGCTGATAAAGAGCACATGACTTCTCCCAGGCCGCCTCACTCCCTCCAGGATTCCCCCTTCCTCTCACAGTTGCTGGGCTTAGCAGTGAGTTACGCGCCATGCAGCAGGTGCACCCAGCCTTTATCTTCCCATGGGTCAGGGCAGCAAGGGGACTGCGACATTCTGGTTTGTGAATCTGTGGGACAGGCAGCCAGCCCCCAGCAGGAACTAAGGCCGCGCTGGTCAAACACTTACATGGACAGTTAATGGTAGAGAGAGGAAAAAGAGACAAAGTGGGCAGGAAGAGGAGGTGGAGGAGGAGGAGGAGGAGGAAAAGGAGGAGAAAAAGGAAGAAGGAAGAAGATAAGAGAGGAGAAGGAAAAAATGCAGAATGGGAAAAAGCAAAGCAGGCAAGAGGATGAGAAAGAAGAGGCATACAGGGAGGAGGAGGCAGTGGGCACACACCAGGGAGGATGCTTGGCTTAGATGGACTTGGGCAAAGGAGGCCCATGAGCAGCTGTGAGCAGCGCAGACACAGCTCTCAATGCTGAGCCTCCCCAGTCACCAAATACCCCTGCTCTACCCGGGCAGAGACTTCAGGACTTTGGGAACCCCGTCCTGTCCTGAGCGGCCTTCAGGCCACCAGGCCATCAAGAGGCTAGTGACGGGACAGAAAAGGGTGAGATCACTCAGCCGAGGACAGGACCAAAGCAGGTTTCCTTAAGGACAAAGGAAATGTGTTCTCACCTCCTCCAGAGAAAAGGGAGGGGCCCTTGTCATTCTCCCATTTAAGCTCTTCCACATCCAGTATCTCAGCGCAGCCATCCGAGGCACTAGACTGATTCCTGCAAATTAGGAAATGACTGAGAGAAGCAGGGCGACTTGCCCAAGAGCTGGTCAGTGAGGAGGGGGCAGAGGTGGTGTGTGACAGTGGACTTCAAGGCCCAGGCTTGCCCCTGGCCCTACACTAAGGCAACGTGCTGTGTACGATCGCTCCAACCGAGGCCTGACCACATGCTCTCAGAGGCTTGTGGCGGAGCAGGGCCATGTTCCAAAATTTGAGGCTCCCCTAAATTGTCCCTTCATGGTGCGTTGAGAGCACCAAAGGTGTAGCTAGAAAAAGCAGGCCCACACAGGCATGGAAATGAGACTCTGCCAAAGAACACAGGCAAGGTAACTTTAGTTTTCCCTCCAGTACTGGGGCTAAAACCCAGGGCTCTGTGCACACACTGTAAGGGTCTACCACTGAGCTACATCCCCAGCTGCAAGGTCACCTTTTCTATGGCAGCCGCCAGTCACCAGCTCAGGTCCCTCCTCTTGAGACTTTCTCTAAGCACTAGTTCTTTACAATTGAGATGCGGGAGAAGGGAACATTTTTGCCCTAAGAAATTCCTAACGTGCTCCCACTGCAAACTTGTGTCATGCGTCCCTTCTGCAGTGAGGTCCTAGGTCCTTCCACCCTGCATAGATAGGCACACTATATACATTTGTTTATATGGAGCGGTGGTGCTTTCTTGATTGCGCCGCAGTGCAGCCTGCTGATGAAGTTTGCTGTTGACATTTCAACATTAGCTGGCTTTTGTCAATTGTGGCAGCCTAAGAAATTCTATCTTAAGGGCTGCTCTTTATTAAATTTGCAAGATACAAAACTGTGACTGACAAATAGTCCCCTTTCCTTTTGCAAATGCATAAATAACGGTCAGCAACTCTGAAGCAATTAAAATGTGCTCTAAATTTAAGCAAAAATATAATCGCTGAAGTTTTACAAGGATTGGAGTATCCAACGGTTTGGCTGAAGGAAACATCTTCTTGATATTTTTCAACAGTTACCAGCATGTGGACCTTTGTGGGGGTTAGGGGGGGGGGACACGACAGTGAAGAGAGCAGAGGAAAGGACATTTACAGGAGCCCCCCTGTTCTAAGCTTTACCAAACTTTGTCACAGAATCTTCTGTGCGACTCTTTTATGTGCTATTGGTGACATAATTCCTATTTTTTCACCAGCCATTATATATGATAAATAAAACAATGCTCTGAAAACACTGAGATCTCTCATCAATGTCATTGTGAAAAGGGCCCAGATAAATGAGTCCTGGAATCACAGGCAGATGACATGGCTGGCCATGTATCATCTTCTATGTATTGAACGTAGTCTTTGTAAAGATAGAGCGGTAATAAAGAGTGGTATTGTGTGCTCTGAAAGGCTGTGTGGGTCTGTGCATGACTAATCTGTCTTTCTGCATTATTTTATTCAATCTTCTCTGACTTTATGCCTTTGACATTTTTGCTACACTCAGTAAATTTGAGTGAATAGGCAATTTTAAAGAATTTTTATAGGGCTTCAGAGAAGTCATATGCAGACTGTATCTTTGTTCAAATTTAACAGTTTAAATATTTCCTTTGTCTAGGGTGCAGAGTAATCTTTAGACAAAAAAATGAAAGAATGCTTTAACCTTAAGATTTTAACATTGTTTCCCTGAAACAGTTCAATTATTTAAAGAAAAAGAAAGAGAAAAAGAAAAAACAAAAGCAGATTCACAATAGAGTAGCTGCCCAACTTTTTAAAATTTTATTATTATAACCAGAAGACTGGCTATCCTGGAGAGGAAGATGTTTCTTCTTTCCCCAGAATCCAGAGATGCAGATGACAAAATGGAAAGGAGTGATTTTTAATCTAGAGTGCATGTCGGCCTCATTTGAGCATCACCTACTTTTTCTGACTTTGTAACATTGCTAGGGTAGTTGTCTATAAACAGTGATTTCACTGAATGTCTTTGATTTGCTGTATATCATGCTATCATTCATTATCTAATCTCTAACATTAGTTCTGCTAGGCACTGCACTTTAAATAATTTATACACTGAGAGGTATGTAATACAAAAATAAAAATTCATTTCCCCTTTGCTACATTAGGCAGAAGCCCCACTTAGTCCATGGTTGTTTAATTATTTGGAGAAAAATTTGGATGACTTGATAAAACTGTGTGGGCTAGTAGGTGCTAGTCTCAAAATTTTAGTTTATAAAGACTTTTTAAAAGATTATTAAACTATTTAAAGTGAACCTAAACTTTAGATGACCCCAATCCTGATGGATTCATAGGGCTGATTACATTTTACAGTATCTATGTCAAAAACATAGTCCGTGTATTTCATCTTTTTATGAATCACTTCATAAACCCACATCTACGAGAGTGACTGAACTCATATGCTTAGTACTCTGAGGTATTTTCCAGAAACCGGACTACGTGAGATTCCTTCAGGTGGGAAGCTGGTACTCCATGGAAACTTTTGGATAACTATGGATCAGCAGGTTCTCTGTCCAGTGTGGCTGGCTACTGGGGTCCACTCTGGAACAGAGTGAGCCAGGCATCCAGAGAAGGCAAAGCACGTGGAGCTGGTAGCACTAGCCTCTTGTGAGACCAAAGCCACCTGCTTGCATCTTCCCTGCATCTATCACCTGGCTGCAAGCTCATCACCACCGTGCATGGCAGGACTTAGGGCTGTGCACACAGGACTTAGGGCCATGCACAGGCCGTGGTGCAGCTGCTATCCCCAAGGGGGCTGGGAGGGAGCAGCAGGGGAGGGCCGTGATGAGGCCAGAACACTGCCCTTTATCATTCTCTTCGCAGAAAGCAGGAGCTTGCATGAACTGTAAAAGGCGTCAAAATCTAGTCACGATTCACATACCAGGAAATCATGGGTCATATGCAGCTCTGGAGGTGTCTCCACCATGTCCGCCGACCAGAAGACAGCCTGCACCTTGCTGAGAACTCACGGAAATAAATGCACAAGTCTAACGTGAGATACGGAACCTTTTTGTAATCATCTAGCAGAGAATGAGATCTGGATGTATCATGTCTGAGTTTCTGACTTCTGCCTTGTAAATGGATAAACATTTCACATCTCCATGTAAGACTGAAACATGAATCCCTATCGCTCTGAAAGAGCGGACACAAATACTACTTTTTATCACTGCAGAGCATTTGATGTAAGTTCATTAAAATGAAAGATTAGAGAGCCCCAAAATGCAGGATAACATGATTCATGTATGGATTCCTGATAACAGATGAGGTTTCTATTATTTTTCTGCCATAGAAAGGACTAATCCTGCTCCTGCAGGAAGTTACCTTCTCCTTTATGAACCATTTTCATAAAACCAAATAAACAACAAGCATGGCCGTGATTATCTATGGCAGTTCCCCATTGATTTATTTGACGTGGATCCAGAGTAGAGGTCTAGTGTCAGGTCTACCTCATTGTGCATTTCCATTAAACCATGAAACTTTAACAAACAAAATGATCTACCATCTCCAAAATAATCAAAAATCAAAGGTGCTGCAACTTGAAATGATCTTACCCATGTCACCAAGCAGGACAGAGGATTTGCATTTTTAGAACCTTGGTCCTTAACAGAACAGCAGTTGGAGAGGCCCTCTCGCCAGTATGCTTTTTAAGCCCAGCCTGAGCTCTCTATGCTTGAGAGCATCTTATGATGCTGTAACTAACCTCAAACCTGGAGCAGCAGGAGGGCAACAAACCTCAGAATACAGCAATGTCATGCTTTACAGGCGCTCTCAGCAACAGCATGAATAAGGGGGGAAATTGGTTGCCTTGGAAACCCTCTAGTCCTGGTAATTATTACTGTAACTGACTGCACACCCCACCTATAACAGAAATGAATAATAATTTATAATCGCTGACTGGCAGCTTTCTGTCTGTGCCTCTGCTCACCACTGCTACCTACTGGCGTGCAAAATTAGCTACAAGCAAACAGTGGGTATGCGGGGAGAAAAACCACCGGCAAAAAGAACATTTGAAGAAAATCTGCCCTCCTCCTTCTCCACCAGGTTCTGAATATAGTTCACGTAAATTGCTGCTCAATCAATACAGCAAAAATGAAAAGTGCTTTGTGTTCCTCTACACAATGGGGGTTGAACAATCTAATGGAAGTTGGTCATCTCAATTAAAAGCAGTTTCATATTGTGACATGAGTAAGATCAAAAAGAGGTACTTAATAAGGTTAACAGAAGCTAAATAACAGCATATATCTTAATGACCCCAAATATATGACTCGCAAGCTATTTAATAGTATAGAATTTGATACTAAGCAAAACTGCTATAAATAAAATCCTATCTGGTAGTTTTGATCAATTAAACTACATAATTAACAAAGATGGTCCATTTATCTTAGGTTGTCTAATTTGCAGTACAGTGTTAAAGTACGTCTACTGGAAGACTAGTTTGTTTAGAAATTAGAACATTCATAGTGATTTACTGGATTTGATTTAAAAGACACAGCAGGAGTTGGCAAAATTCACATATCATGGGGTTAATGTGGGTTAGAAAGTAGCTATTTGTAATGCAAAAATATTGTATACCAAATACACACATCTGATTTCTTTTAATCCTAGCTCATCTTTTTTGTAGAAATTGTTCACTTGCTAAAACAAACAACAAAACAGCTGCATTTGCCACCATTAGGACCTCAAAATCTTCCATTTTCAATCTCCGAAGCAAAACAAGGCTACGGCTACGTGGGTAACAGATCAAGCATTGGTTACCGAAAAGCTGTCCACTGGCTGACAGCTTCCGTGGCTCCTTCCGGAGGGAGGGTCAGTATTCCCACTGACTTCAACCAGGGCTGGTTTGTAGCTGCCACACATTCAGGCTCTGCACCTCACGGTCCTGTCTGGTCAGGATACTTCACAGTGCTAACAGTTCTGTAAATTCAAACCGGGCACAGTAGCACACGTCTATAATCCCACCACTTGGGAGGCTGAGGCAGGACAATTGCTATAAATTCGAGATCAGCCTGGGCTATAAAGTGAGCTCAAGGCCAGCCAGAACTGCATAGCGAGACCCCGTCCCAAAAAAGACAAAAAAAAAAAAAGAGTTCTTACGTTCTAGAGGAAAGCTCACTGAAGCAGGGCTAAGAATCGTGAAGATGGGAGTAAGAATAATAAGAAACACTCAGCCCTTCCGTGGGGTGGTCCATACCCAGCCCCTCATAAACCTGAAACCCTACTGACACGAGGGAACCACCATAGAATCTCTCATCGCATACAACACAATTCCCCAGAAATATTTTTGTTCTAAAATCAATCTCATCTAGTAATAATTGCAGCTCTCTTCTTGATTTCTACCCCTTAATTAATTCCAGGTATACTTATTGAATACTTACCACTTTGCTTTTCAGATACCAGCAGATGTACACAAGTTTTTCAGACATTTCAGAGGCTTCTGCACAGTTTTAACACTCGCACTGACTCTTCTATTAAAGGACCCATTAGACAATAGACGTGGACCACACAACCACCACACATGTATTAAGTAGGGAGATTCCAGAACACAGAACCCAAGAGCACAAGCTTTGTGGAAAGATGCACAGGTCAAAGCAGGTTCCACATTTTCAAATGCATTCAAGTTTCAAGCAAGTATTTGCAAATTTCACTTTTCTGAAGAGGTTCTGAGTGCTTCTCCTAGGTTATACCTCAATTAGCTCCTAACGAGTGCTCCTTGAAAGATTTCCAATAACTGTTAAAAAATTAAACTTACTCTTTCAGTTTCTGTGACAAGTGGATCTAGCCTATACACTTTTTGAGAACAGCAAAGACTTTTCCCAAAGCACGTGCACACGCATGCACACACGCACGCACACACACACACACAAAATGCTTATTATAATTTTTACCAATTGAACCATTCCTCCCTTCTGAGCAAGAGTCATCACCAAATCGTCAGACAGCCCACTCTTCCTTCAGTTTAGCTTCCAGGAGCTCCTACGTGTGTGATGGTAAAAATAACTTGGAGCCCAAGAAAATATTTTTAGTCTCAAAAAACCCATGTTACTAATAATAAACTTGGTACTTGGACAAAGCATAACTAAAAGCCCTGTGAGGCTCTAATTTCATTAGCACCGTCCCCCGTACCAAGACATGTCCTTCCTAGAAACCTTACTGCTCTCTAATCCCATCTATTCCCTCCTCTGACAGGAAGCAGGTCCAATTCTCTAACCTCAAAGAAGACACTGAGACTCAAAGTTTGAACTTTCTCTGTGTCCCGTAGCTCTTCAGCATTCTCCTTTGACCTGTCCATAAAGAATAACAAACTGCTTGAACAGAGAAAACACTCATGAATACTCAAGACAGTATATTCTGCCAGCCCACCTATTGTAAAGCCTCTTACAATGCTGGATAAAATGTCACAAGAAACTTCTCAAACCTAGTCTCATTTGCAAGAAAATAACAGGAACCACCCCTGGCTTTAAAAAAAAAAAAAAAAAAGGAAACAAAGAGCTAAAACCACTGGCAACAATTTAGAGCTGTCATCCTGGGACATAACCATTTGTTTTAAAAGCTGCAAAATACAGGAGGCAAGTCCTCAGACTCAACAAAGGAGTTAGAACTAAGATGATTACACACAAAGGCTGCTGGAGTGAAAGGTTGGGGGCAAATTCCCTATCAAAACCCAGCAAGGAAACGGGCTTTGATGTGCCTAAGCTCTAAGTAGGATGGGATGGAGTGTGGTTTCCCCGGGGGACGTATAGCTGTGGACCAGCTTTCTCCTGGGTCCAGATGGGAGAAACTGCAAGCCATGAAATTAACTGAGAAGCTCCAAGCCATGAGCTTAACACAGACATCCTGCCAAGAACTCCTCAGACTAGTCCTGAAGGAGTAAGTGGTGCAGAACTTGCTCTTCTAACATAAATCCTGGAAACTGGACAAGATATATATTAATTTTCAGACACTTCGACAATAGGTAGTAAAGACTGAGATCACTAGCAAAAGGAAGTAAATGAGGTGGGTCTTATAATCACACTGGCTTTCTCTTGAGAGACATTTTTTGGACCACAGCACAGGGAAAAAGAATCCAAGCAAAATAAGCAGGGTCTTACAGTGGGAAAGCCACGCAGACACCAATTTACCAAAGCGGTCAAAATTAACATCTTGATAGGATATGCAGAGAAAGGCATTTCACCTCTGTGGTGTCTTCTTCTAAACTCAACTGCATGCTAATCTTAAGAAAATACTGTGTGAACCCAAACTGAGGGCCAATACACCTTCAAAAATACAAAAGTCATGAAAAGAACAAGAAAGAGAATTTGCCACAGGAAAGACTAACAAAACATGGCCACTAAATGCAATAGGTCACTGGCTGTGATGGGACACGCTTGTAATCCCAGCACTCAAGAGGCAAGGGCAGGAGGATCTCTATGAGTTTGAGATCAGCCTGGGCTATATGGGGAGGTCTAAGCTAGCCTGAGCTTTTTAGCAAGGCCTTGTCTCAAAAAGACACACACACATACATACATACATACATACATACATAACATACATAAATGCAATAGGTATCCAGGAAAGGGTATGTGTGGAAGAACTGGTGAAATTCTAATGAAGTCTGTAGCAAGCTAATAGTATCATATTGCACTAACATTATTTTGTCAAATATACCTTGCTAAGGTACACTTAATTTTAAAGACACTAAAATTAAGTGAAAAATGTATGAGAGCTCTCTGTACTAACTTTGAAACTTTCCTGTAAATGAAGTCTTATTCCAAAATAAAGAGATGAATAAAATATTCTGATGCCAAATTTAAAAATTACTAAACAGGAGAATAAGCATCAAATTGTGAAGGAATAGCCAGAAGGAAAATTAGTCAGTGGAGATAGATGTAAAGATGACAGGAAGGATAGGATTAGAAGATGAAGACTTTAAAGCAGTAGTTATAAACAGACTAAAAATTTAAAGGAAAACAACATAATGAAGAGTGAATTAAAGTATTTTTATTAAACAATAAACAAATGGAAATTCTAGAGGTCAAAGCAAACACAGTATGCAAAAAACTACCTAAAATGAAATGCAAAATGAAAAAGAACTAAACAAAAATGAACTAAGTCTCAGGAAATTTACTGCACAGTAAAAGCTATGGAGTATAAATATAATTGGGGTGTCAGATGAAAAAGAGGTGGAGAACCAAGTAATCTTTAACAAAATGACTAAAGTATCTCCACATTTTATGAAAACTCTTATTAAATACACAGATCCCTGTCCTTAACTAATCAAAGATCTAAATGTTAAAACACAAACACTTAATTTTCTGGAAGAAAAAATAGTAGAAATCTTGGAAGACATAGGTGTAGACAAGGACTTTCTTGTCTACAGAAACCCAGTTGTACAAAAAATAACGTCAAGAACCAAGAAAAGGGATATCGAATTAAAACTGAACCAACACAATGAACAGGCAACCTTTAGAATGGGGAAATTTTTACCAGCTGCTCCTCAGATGACTAATATTAGAATATATAAAGAACTGAAAAGAAATTAGATACCCCAAAATAAAACACCCAATCAAAAAATGGACAGCTGAAATGAACAGAAATTTCTCAGAAGTATAAATAGCCAACTAATAAAAAATATTCGACACCTCTAGTCATTAGAAATATGAGAATTAAAACAGCACTGAGATTCCCTCTTACTCCAGAAAGAATGGCTATAATCAAGAAACAAAATAATAATAAATGGTGGCAAAGCTGCAGGAAAAAGGAACTCATAGTTGATGGGAATGTAAACTATTATAGAAATGAGCATGGAGAGCCCTCAAAAAACCAAAACCAGAAATTCCATTCAACCCTTTCTAGGTATTTTCCCCTAATAGTTAAAGACACCAAAACCGCAGTGATAACATGCATACCCTATTTATAGTAACATAATTCATAACAGCTAAATCTTGGAAGCAGTGTATATGTACATCAAAGATGAATAAAGAAAAATTGTTATACACAGTGGAGTACTACTTTGTCATAAAGAATGATAAACCTGAGGCAGGTAGAAAATGGATGCACTTTGAGACCATAATGTTAAGTGAAATAAATTAAACACATAAGCTTAAGGGAGATAAATCTTTTGTAAGAAGGCAGGGGACCAAGAGAGGGATGGAGGCAGAGGAACCCCCATGGGAATTAGTGCCAGCATGGGAAAGCTGAACTTACATGGATAAATTTCTGGAAACTCAGAGTGGACTATTTTGAGTTGAAAACTCCAAAGGGGTTCAATAATTGTCCTTTCCTATCACACAGAGAGTTCTGCGGGTTTTACTTCCAGAAAAAAGTTAGTTTGTGAATATGGGATGGGGAGGCCTCTTCCCTCCTGTTTCCAGCAGAAATTCTGAAATATGCCAGAAAAATTCTCTTCTAGCAAGGCCTGTCCACAGGACAGACTGTTTACTAGAGTCTAACTTGCTGGAATTTTATCAGCTCCTGCCTGACTTAGAGGAAGGAAGATACCCAATCTCAGCTGACTCTGACCTTCTGCGTGGGAGAAGCAAAGTGGCAAAGTGCCCTGCACGCCTGCCACGCTGCCAGCACACGTGCAGCTCACGGTGTAGGCTGGCTTGCTGGAGACCAACACCTACCCAGACACCTACCCACGGGACTGGGAATGCCTCCCCTTCTCCCAGACCTCACCACCTCATCAGAGGTGGTCCACAGCAGTTCCTTTCACTCAGCAAGTCTTGCCCAGCTGTTAAGAAAATATTACAAAGCACACTAAAAGGCAAAAGCATCGTCTGAGAAAGCAGCAAGCATCAGAACTACATGCAGATATGGTCTAGGAACTTAAAATAACTATGATTAACATGGTAAGGGTTTTAATGGGTAAGAACAGGCAGACAATGTAAGTTGTTATGATTTATATCTACATGAACCTCCAAAGCCTCTTGTGCTCGTAGGTGGGTTTTGGGGAGGTATTTGAATCATGAAGCTGTGATGCTCATCAGCGAGCTTTCTCCTCTGACTTACCCCCACTGCCTTGGAGCCAGACTATGGACTGAACCTTTTCCTTCTTTAAACTACGGATGTCAGATACTGTACCTCAGTGATGAGAAAGTAACTAAGATGTAAGTAGAGATGGAAATTCTAAGAAAGTACCCTAGAAATGCCAGAGATGAAAAACATTAACAGAAACAAAAATGTCTTTGATGGACTCACTGATAAATTAATACAGCTAAGAATCTGAGCTTCAGGATATCTTAATAGAAACTTCATAAATTGAAAAGAAAAAAGAAAAAAATAGAACAGAATAGCCAATAATTATGGAGCAACTAAAAAAAGTTTAATACATGTATAATGAACCTATAAAAGAAAGGACTAAATGAAATATTTGAAACAATGATGACTATTTTCTCCAAATTAATATCAGACATCACACTGGATTTAGGAAGTTCAGGAAACACTAAGAGAGATAAATGCATTAAAAAAATTTAATACCCACTAAACCTAGATATATCATTTTCAAGCTATAGAAAATGAAGAAAGAAGAAAGGGAGAACAGAACGAGGACAAAAGAGAAGCCACAGAAGGGGAAAATACGTTACCTCTCAGGAGCAAAAATAAAAATTACATCCAACTTCTAGAAATTAGGCCTGCAGCCATTTGAAGTTTTGAGAGAGAAAAAATTACCCATCCAGCATTCTGTACCTTATAAAATAGCCTCAAAAGTGAAGGAAAAAGTAAGACCTGGTGGTGCACACCTGTAACCCCAGTAGTCAGGAGGCTGAGGCAGAAAGATCACTGAGCATTTGAAATCAGCCTAGACTATATAGTGAGTTCAAGGCCAAGCCTCGACTATTCAGCAAGACCCTCTCTCAAAACACCAAAAAGGAAAAAAAAGTGAAGGAAAAATAC